GGAGACAGGATCTCACTTTATAGTTCAAAACTGGATTTGAACTCACTATGTATCCCCAGCTGATCTTGAACTCATGACAATCCTACTACCTCAGCCTCCTGAGTTCTGGGATTACATATGTGAGTTGCCATTTTATTTATTATGTGTATGAGTGTGTTATCTGCATGTGTATAGGTGCATCTGTGTCATGCAATGCCAAGGAGGTCAGAAGAGGGTGTCAGATCCCATGGAACTGGAGTTATAAACAGTTGTTAACTGCCATGTGGGTGCTGGGAATCAAACCCAGATCCTCTGCAAGAGCAGTCAGTGCCCTTAGCCACTGAGCCATCTCTCCAGTCCCCCTTTTAAGGCTTAAACAAGAGCCTTGGGTGGTCCTTGCAGGCTCTCTTGAAGTAAGTTGTGTACCAAGGGTGTTTGCCTTGGTCTTCCATTCCTGTGTGAGGTTGTCTGAAGTGGGTGCCTCACGGGTCCCTGTGAGGGCTTAACCAGCTGTGTGTCCCTCTTGTGTTTGGTGCAGTGAGGACCTTCCATCTGTATGTGAACAGGCCCTGTGGATGACAAGCTTCCACAAACTATACTGGCACCCAGGTTCCATCCATGTCTTCCCTGGTGGCTCAAAATAAATCCAGGGCAGTGTGAGATTAAAGGAAATTTACCAACAGAGGGATGAGCTTAAAATAGAACCTAAAAGAGGGGGATCAACTAGCAATAGAAGGAAGCTGTAGAAGAGTGGTCCACGGAGTCACTGCACCCTGCTCAATTTTCTGTGTGTTTTGAAACTTTTCATAACAAAATGTAGGGAAGGGCCAGGCAAATGGCTTGGCATGTAAAGGTGCTTGCCACCAACCCTGATGGCCTGAATTTGATCCCCGGCCCCATCATGGTAGAAGGAGAGAATTCTAAATTGGGTTCTGACCTCCATACTTTAACAGGGCACCTGTGAGATTCCCATGTGCACACATATAAAATAATTCCTCTTTTGGTCTTTTTTTTTTTTTTGTCTTTTTGAGACAGGGTCTCCCTGTAGCCCCAGCTGTCCTGGAACTCTATGTAGAACAGGCTGGCCTTGAACTCACAGAGATCCACCTGCCTCTCCCTCTGAATACTGGGATTAAAGGCATGCACCACTATGTCCTGTGCAAAGAATTTTTTTTAATGTGAGGGAAGGGAGAGGTTCAGTTAAAAAAAAAGGAAAAAGTGTTTTCCCCAAATCCCCCAATTCTGTGATAGCTGCCACCGTTCCTTCTAGTCTGGTCAAGAAGTAATTAAAGCTGGGCGTGGTGGCACATGCCTTTAATCCCAGCACTCGGGAGGCAGAGGCAGGCGGATCTCTGTGAGCTCGAGGCCAACCTGGTCTACACAGTGAGTTCCAGGCCAGCTGAGGCTACAGGGAGACCCTGTCTCAAAAAAAAAAAAAAATTAACAGTTAAAGATCAAGACTTTTAGCCTGGCATGATGGAACATGCCTTTAATCCCAGCACTCAGAAGGCAGGTCGGTCTCTGTGAATTTGAGGCTAGCATGGTCTACATAGTGAGTTCTAGGTCAGCCAGGGTACATAGTGAGACCCTGACTTAAAAAGGAAGAAAAAAAAAGAAGAGGAAAAGTAGGAGGAAGAGGAAGAGGAGGAGGAGGAAGAAAACAAGACAACTTTGTTTGTTTCTTTCTTTGTTTTGAGACAGGGTCTCCCTGTAGCCCCAGCTGTCCTGGAACTCACTGTGTAGACCAGACTCACAGAGATCCGCCTGCCTCTGGCCTCCCAAGTGTTGGGATCAGAGGCGTGCGCCACCACGCCCAGGTCAACTTTTTAAATTTTAAATGACATTTTATTTTATTTATCTTGTGGGTGGGAAGGGGTGTTACTCATGAGCCACAGAGCACACACAGTGATCAGAGGACAGCTTGCAGCAGTTAGTTCTCTTCTCTTACCATGTGGGTCCTGGGGATCAAACTCAGCTGATCAGGCTTGGCAGCGAGGGCCTTTACCACTGAGCTATCTTGGTGGCCAAGACATTTTTCAAAGTATTAGGTTCTGGCTGGTCCTGAGTCCTCACTTGGCGGCTGTGTTCATCTACTCAGGTCGTAGCAAAGTGTCATAGATCAGGTGACTTGAGCACCTAATTTACTGTCTCTGTTAGGGGGGCTGGGGGGTCCTACATCAAGAAAGTGCTTCTGAGCTGATGTCTCCTGAGGCTTCTCTTTTTGGCTGGTATATGGTGTCTGCCTGTGTTCTTGGAGGCTGACACTCTAGGTTTGTCTGTGTCCTAGTCTTGCCTATGAGGACACTATCAGACTGGCTATGGCCTCATTTAGACTTAAAGAGCTCTTGAAAGACACTGTCTCCAAACACAGTTCTTTTTTTTTTTAATTTATTATTTTTATTTTATGTGTATACATATTGCCAGCATGTAGGTAAGTACACCTGTGTCGTGCAATGCCCATGGAGGACAGAAAAGGCTGTCGTATCCCCTGGAATTGGAGTTACGGACAGTTGTTAGCTGCCATGTGGCTGCTGGGATTCGAATCCGGGTCTTCTGCAGGAACAACCAGTGTTCTTAACTGCTGAGCCATCTCTCCAGCCCCCAAACACAGTTCTTAATGACCTCCTCTTCTTCTTCCTCCCCCTCCCCCTCCTCCTCCTCATCTACCTCCTCCTTCTTTCCTTCTTGTTCCCCTTTCTCCTTGGAACCCATGGCTTCCCTAGGCAAGCCCTCTACCACCCAGCTACAACCCCAGCGTCCCCTTAATTTTGAGCTGTAAACCAATTCATGTCACCCCAGGGGGCAGGGAGGAGTTGAGCAGTGTTAGTGCCTATTTGCAAGTTCTGACACCTGGCTGGTTCATGAGAGATTCTTGGCTGGAGGAAAGGGGACAGGCTTAACTTTTACTTACGAGCTAGGATCAATTCCTGCCATTGGATCAATTCCTCCAGGGGTGGACAGACTACCGAGCTGAGGATGTGGGGATCAACAGCAGTTGTCTGGTAAGTGTTTTTTATCCAGGCCTGCCAGGATGTCTTTATTTTATATATTTTTTATTTTATTTTATTTCATTTTATTTTATGTGTACAAGTGTTATGCTTGCATGTAGGTAAGTGCACCCGTGTCATGCAGTGCCGCGGAGGACAGAAGAGAGCTTCAGATTCCCCTGGAACTGGAGTTAAGGATGGTTCTTAGCATCATATGAGTGCTGGGAATCAAACCCGGGTCCTCTGCAAGAGCAGTCAGTGCTCTTAACCGCTGAGCCATCTCTCCAGCCCCCTGCCATGATGTCTTATCTGGTCCTCACGGGAATTGAGACACCAGGAGAATCCTGAGCATCCCTTATGCCTCTTGGAGCAGAAACCAAATATTTTTTATTAGAATCCAGAAGCTTCATGTGCAGAAGGGAGAGGGGGTGGGTGGTGAGGTTTGGTCAGGCCTGTGGTGACTTTGAAATGAAAGGAATGGAAGGCATTGGCAGGGCCCAGCCTTCTCAGCAGGGCTCTGGCCTGAGCCACTTCCACCTTCCCCAGACTCTTCTTCCTTGTCCTGGGAGCCCTTGTCTGGTATTCGCAGAGCAAGATTCTATCCCCAGCACCACTGGAAAAGGAAAACAAATTAGAACAGCCCCGCAGAGCTCTGGAGAACAGAAGTGAGGTCTCTAAGGCTGGCTTGAAGGTCAATAACGGCTGGCAGTTGGCCCTGGGCCCCTCAGGGCAAGGCTTTTGTGCTTTGTGACATTAGACAATGAAGGCTTGGAGAAGCTGGGTGGGCGAGCTTGAGGCCTGGAGCATGAGGCCTGGAATGCGAGGAGGTCCTGTGCCAGGGACCATCCACTTCTTGCTCTCTCTCTTTTTGAGATTCGATTTTAAAAAATTTTTATTAAGCCGGGCGTGGTGGTGCAGCCCTTTAATCCCAGCACTTGGGAGGCAGAGGCAGGCGGATCTCTGTGAGTTCAAGGCCAGCCTGGTCTACATAGTGAGTTCCAGGACAGCTGGGGCTACAGGGAGACCCTGTCTCAAAAAGACCAAAAAAAAAAAAATTATTATTTTTATTTTATGTGTATGAGTGTTATACCTGCATGTAGGTAAGTGCACCTGTGTCGTGCAATGTCTGTGGAACACAGAAGAGGCTGTTGGATCCCCTGGAACTGGAGTTACAGACAGCTGTTAGCCAGCATGTGGGTGCTGGGAATCGAACCTGGGTCTTCTGCAAGAACAGTGTTCTTAACTGCCGAGCCATCTCTCCAAGCCCCTGAGATTGGATTTTTTTAAAAAACAATATTTTTTATTGAATTTTGGTGTATTTCATCCAAAGCATCTTAGTCATATTTAGACCTCCTCCTCATCTGCACCCTCCCATAGCCCACCTACTTAATTTCATGTATTCTGTCATAGGTGTTAAGGCCTATCGACTCAAGTTTGTGTATCCAAATGTCTCTCCAATGTGAGTTCATCCACTGGAACCTGGTCAGCCTATTAGCATCACTCCCTTAAAGAGGAACAACTCTCCCTCACCCAGCAGTGATCCGCTGCCAATAGTTCCTCTATTAAGATTGGGGCCTCCTGCTCATTGCCCCACTTCCATGCTGGGTTTTTGTCTGATTAAGTTTTTGGTTTTAAAAAAAAAATGTTTATTATTTTTATTTTGTGCATATTGCCTGCATGTATGTAAGTGCACCCATGTCACGCAATGTCTGCTGAGGTCAGAAGAGGGCGTCGGATCTCCTGGAACTGGAGTTACAGATGGTTCTTAGCTGCCATGTGGGTGTTGTGACTCAAAGCCAGGTCCTCTGCAAGAACAACCAGTGCTCTTAACCACTGAGCCATTTCTCCAGCCCCAGGTTTTTTTTTTTTTTTTTTGAGACACGGTCTCCCTGTAGCCCCAGCTGGCTTGGACCTTGCTATGTAGAACAGACTGGCCTGGATCTCACAGAGCTCCACCTGCCTCTGCCTCTGCAGTGCTGGCATTAAGGGCATGTGCCACCATGCTGGGCCTTCCATCCACTTCTTTTTTCTTTTTTAATCTTTTTTATGGATGGTTGTTAGCTGCCATGTGGGTACTGAGATTTGAACCTAGGTCCCTTGCAAGAACAGCCAGTGCGCTTAACCACTGAGCCATCTCTACAGCCCAACTGTCCACTTCTTAACTGCTCTTCAGTGTGGGGCTCAACTTTATGTGTATCTCTAGGCTGGGAAGGGCAAGTTCAGGAGCTGCAAAAACAAGCCCACTTCTCCCTCTTGTGGGAGCTGGAGGAGGAGTCTGAGCAAGTGCAAATTTAGCGGATTTAACACATTTTCCTTGTGTAACAGCACAGGTGGGGTGTCCGGGAAGAGGACAGCACCAAACGTCAGAGACAACAGCTTGCTTCTCCTTCCCCAGGTCTCTTCTTGGTCTCTAGTACAGATTCACCTGCCCTTGGGGAACCTGGCTTCAAGTCCAGTTGCCCCAGTCTGGTCTGTGCTTTGTAAACGAATCAAATGTTAGAGGAGCTGCCCCCTGCTGGGGAATGAGGGAGGCTGGACCTAAATTTAACACCTGGCTGCAGAGTTTCCTGGGAGGGATGGCTGGCTGGCCACTCCAGGCTGTCTCTCCAGAGGGTTCCACTTGGCTTGCTTTTGGTTGGAAACAGAGTCTTGGTATGTAGTTCAGGCTGGCCTCGAGCTGTCCATGCTTCTGTCCCGAGTGCTGGGACAGCAGGTCTGTGCCACCATGCCTGGCTTGACTCTGGCTTTTGAATGCAGTGGAGGAATAGCAGGCACTGGTCAGTTTCCTGTGCTGTCCAGCTGTAGGCTCAGCTCAGATTTCAGGCTGGGGAACTGTCCAGGTGTTTTTTGCCAATCCATTCTGGGAGACTTGGCAACTGGCCTGATTGGGTTCTGCCTTAGCTCTGGCTTTCAAGAACTCAAGGGCTCACTGACAGCAGTGTTAGATGGAGTCTAGTGTCCTTTTCTACCTTGTTTGGTTTATTTGTTTTTTTTGTTGTTGTTTGTTTTTTTTAGACAAGTTTCCCCTGTAGCTATGACTGGCCTAGAACTTGCTATGTAGACCAGGCTGACCTTGAACTCACAGAAATCCACCTGTCTCTGCCTCCCAAGTGTTGGGACTAAAGGAATGCGCCACCACACCAGGCCATAATTTTAATCTTAAACACACACATACACACACACACACACACACACACACACACACACACACACTTTCCACTGCTGGAGACCAAACCCAGGGCCTTGTACATGCTAGGCAAGCACTCTACCACTGAGCTACATCCAAAGCCCTCTACTTTTTTGTGTCTTTTTGAGACAGGGTCTCCCCCTAGCCCCAGCGGCTGGCCTGAAATTTGCTTTGTAGAACAGGCTGGATTCACACAGAGATCCTCCTGCCTCTGTGTCCCAAATGCTGGGAGTAAAGATGTGTACCACCAAGCCTGGCCAAAGCCCTCTACTTTAAAATAAAAAGAATTAGGTCTAGGTCTGGGGGATAAAAAAATGTGAACGTTAGCCTAGCATATGCAAGCCCCTAAGCTCTATTCCTAAGTGCTGAGAAACCAAAACTGAAATCTGAACACATTTCAGGAATTTTTATTTAGCTCAATTCATTAACTACCGAGGGAACCAGTAAGATGGCACAGTCAGTTCAGAAGAGGAATCCCCAGAGCAGACGCATGCACAGGTAGTAGGGATGTTGGAATGGATTCCCTTAATAGACACAAAACTTAATATCCACAGGTCAGCAACCAACTGTAACTCCACATGGGTGGGATTTGCTTTTTTTATTTGTTTTTGAGACAGGGTCTCATGTAGTACAGGCTGACCTTGGACTTGTTATATAGCAAAGGATGACTTTGAATTTCTGATCCTGTTGCTTCCACCTCCCAAGAACTGGGAATATAAGTATGCACTTGCATGCCTGATCTTCTGCAGTGCTAGGAATCAAACCCAGGGCTCTGTGGATATGAGATAAGTACTCTATGAACTGAACTACAGCCCCTAGCCCCTGATTTGATTTTTTGGATAAGAATCATTTGCACAATGCTCAGAGTTCCACAACTTAAGAACCATAGCTCACAGATAGAAAGGCCATTGACTCTGTGCATTTGAGGCTAGCCTGGTCTAGATAGTAAGTTCCAGGCGAGCCAGTGCCACATAGCGAGACACGATCTCAAAAAACCAGACCAAACCAAAACCACATTGCCTGACTGAAAGAAGGCACCGGGCAGCAGCGTGGCCAGTCACCCCCTTTTCTCCCGGCAGGGCCATCTGTCTGGCTTGTATTCAGCCTGCTGTGTTCCCATGGATCCTCCCCTTCAGGTCAGACAAGGACAGGCCACGCCCTGCACAAACAGCCCTGTCAGGTAAATCAATTATGCTTTTGTGGTTTGTCCTAGGCTTTGGGTGGTTCCCTTTCCTCAGCTGATAACCCACACACTGTGGGTAATACTGGAAGCTAGGAAGCTTTGGAGGCTGGTGCACCAGCCTGGACTGAAGTCTCTTCTCCCCATTAGGGGGTCACTGGTTGGGTGGTGCCAGAGTTAGACTTGGGCCTGGTATCCTCTGAGTCAAATTCAGTGCTTGCTTTGAAATAGCTGGCATAGCAGTATGTATTGTGAACCAGGCCTAGTTTGGAGGGTTGGTGCCTACTAACCCTAAGGCACAGAATGAGTCTTGAGGAAGCGAAGGTCTAGAGGAGTGGGGCACTTTTCTGTGGCACCCCCAGCAGTGAGTGGTAGAGTCAGAACGTCTGCAGCCAGGCACTCAAGTCCAGGAGTCTCTACCACTCCAGGAGTCAGCTACTCACTCCAGCAGAGTACATTACAGAAGTAACCTGTGTTTGTGGAACATGTATTCTGGGCAGAGCCCTGTGTCGTGGGTCCCCACCCACTTTATATAAAGACTGTGATTTATTTTATTTTTACAAAAATATTTTGTCTTTTTTCCTAACTTTTATTATTATTGTTCTTCTTTGTGTGTGTGTGTGTGTGTGTGTGTGTGTGTGTGGAGGTGTATTTGCCATGGTGTGTGTATAGAGGTCAGAGGACGACTTTGTGAACTTGATTCTCTCTCCACCTTTACATGGGTTCTGGGACTCTCATTCCCATCATCAGGCAGTATAATAGTTACTTTTCTGTTGCTGTGATAAAACACCATGACCAAGGCAACTTACAGAAGGAAGAGTTTATTTGACTTACGGTTCCAGAGGGATAAGAGTCGGTCATAGTGAGGAGGCACGGCGGCCGAGGTGGCTGGAGCGGAAAGCTGAGCACTCCCATCTTCAGGTAGGCACAGGAAACAGAGAGGACAAACTGGAAATAGGGCTAAGTTATGAACTCTCCAAGCCCGACCCCAGTGATGTGCTTTCTCCAGCAAGGCTGCACCTCCTAAGCCTCCCAAACATTGCCACCAACGGGGGGACAAAGTGTTCAAACACTTGGAGCCTCTAGGAGGCATTTTCATTTGAACCACCACAGGTGGCACCCTTAAAAAAATTAGTTTGCCAGGCATGGTGCCACATGCATTTAATCCCAGCCACTCAGGAGGCAGAGACAGGTGTATCTCTGTGAGATCGAGGACAGCCTGGTCTACATAGTGAGTTCCAGGCCAGCTGGGGCTACATGGAGACCCTGTCTCAAAAAGACCAAAAAAAAAAAAAGTTTGCATGTTTATGTATGTATGTGGTGTATGTGCCCATATATGTGGTACATGTGTCCCTGAACACATGTGGAGGCGGGGGAGGATGTCAGCTGTCCTGCTCTGTTACTCTCTTCCCTATTCCTTTGAGACAGGGTCTTTCACCGAACCTCGAACTGGGCTGGTGGCCAACAACCCTGGTGAGCCTTCTGTCCCCACCCTCCACATCACTGGGGCTATAGGTGTGCGCATTCTCACACCTGGCTCTTTACAGGGGATCTGGGGGTTTAAACTCAGGTCCTCATTCTTCTGAGCTGTCTCCCCAGCCCCCATGTTTTCTGTTAATCAGTTCATCTTTGAGAGAGGTGATGGATGTAGCTGTGGCATAAGACTCAGGGGTCAGGAAATGGAGCGAGGTCTCAGGGGTTGGTCACTCATGGCTCTTGCAGTGGACCCAGGATCAGCTATTGGCACCCACAGGGTGGCTCACAATCATAACTCCATTCGTGGGGATCCGCTGCCCTCTTACCTGTTACCTAGGCATACTAGCAACCTGCAATGCCTAACCTTAATCTCTAGCCCTTTGAGAGACCGAGCTGAGACTCAGTGGTTCAAAGTGCCCAGTATCAATCACATTGCTGGCCTATGCTGTCTGACATGGCCTCCTGCCCCAGAAAATAAAGATACGCTCAGTAAACAGATCAAAGGCTTGGAATTTCCTTCCCAAGTGGCAGCTCCTTAGGCCAAGAAGGTCTTTTCAGTATGCACGTGACCCTGCTCTTTTTTAAAAAAATATTTTATTTATTTATTTTATTTTATGTGTATGAGTGTAAAGCCTCCATGTAGGTAGGTGCACTGGTCTGGAGGTACAGACAGGTGTTAGCTGCCATGTAGGTGCTGGGAACAAAACCCAGGTCCTCTGGAAGAGCATCAAGTGCTCTTAACCACTGAGCCATCTCTCTAGCCCCCATGTTTTTTTTTTTTTTTTGAGACAAGGTCTTGTTATGCAGTTCAGGATGGCCTCAGACTTGAGGTGATCCTCCTGTTCCTACCTCCTGAATGTTGGTATTACAGTTACGTGTCATTGTGCCTGTCAAAAATAGATTTAATCTAAACTCTCTGCCATCTCTGCCCCATCAGGGAGGACTGGGAAGGACTCCATTTGGGGGAAATGTCACAGCCACAAAGTCTCGGTCCCTATGGCTGAACTTCTTGTTGTTACTCTTTTTAAAAAAAATTTATTTATTTATTTATTTTATTTTATGTGTATGCAGGTATTGTCTGCATGTAGGTTAAGTGCACCCGTGCTGTGCAATGCCCGCAGAGGACAGAAGAGGCGGTCGGAGCCCCTGGGACTGGAGTTACAGACAGTTGTTAGCTGCCACGTGGGTGCTGGGATTCGAACCCGGGTCTTCTGCAAGAACAATCAGTGTTCTTAACCACTGAGTCACCTCTTCAGCCCCCTTGTTGTTACTCTTGTGTGATTGCAGACAACTCCAGTGTAGTTGGAATGAAAGGTACACTTAATTACCTGCAAAGGGTCTGTGGGTGTCAGGTACTGGGCAAGGTTTTGGCATGCATGGTGAGCAAGTTGGACTGATTTGGGCTTTCTCATGGAGCTTCTGGTTTATGCCACGGGGCAGAAGGGAGACAGGTAAATCTCCAGGTGTCTCTTGACTTCCATCACTCCCCCATCTGCGAGGCCTGCTTGCCTCTGACCATTGCCATTTCTTGGATAAGTATTTCCTGAGCCACTACTGTGTGCCAGCCACTGTTCTGATGAAAGGCCTTGAGTGGTTGACAAGACAAACATAGCTCCTGCCCCACCTGAGAGGGAGAGGTGCACTGATCCCCTCCTATCTCCACTCAAGTGGGAGATGCACACAGAAACCCTGGGAGCATAAGTAGCATAGTTTCCTTGTAAACCATCAAGGAGACACAGAGCCGGGGTGGAGAGTGGGTGGTACTAATCAGGGAGTGCTTCCAGGGTAAGTGGCATCTGGGCTGAGACCTCTGGATGAGGAGGAGCCAGTCGTGTGAAGAGTGGGGAATGGTGATTCAGGGAGAGGGAACAGCATAAGCAGAGACCCTGAGGTAGAAAATACCAGCCTGGCTAGAGTGTTGGGAACAGATGAAGACAGAGAGGTCGCAGACTGCGGGACCACGAAAGTGTTTGGGTTTATTCCAGCGGTGATAGGGAACCATTGGAAGCTCCGAGACGGGACTGGGATGATTTCATGTCCATGTCAGGATCCCTCACAGCTACTGTGTTGGGAGTAGATTGTGGGGATGGTGGAGGGAAGTAGGGATGGGGTCTCCAGGACCCTGCAGGCTGCCTGTCACTTCTGGCCTGTGCCTGGGCTGTGCCTTCACCTGGAGTCCTCAGCTGAGCTGTATAACTCCAAGGATGAGTGGTTGGCCCCACCCCAAGTCAAATAACTTAGAAGCCAGTTCCTTCTTGGGCCTATCAAGATCTTTTAAAGGACACTGGTGCTGGCTGGCTGTAGCATGCTGATTCAGGAAGGAGCCCCATTTTCTCTGTCTTCACAGACTGTGTTTGCCATGATGATGCTGTAGCCTGCAGGGGTCAAACATGCCTTGAACCCAGAGAGGAGCCCTGCACTGGGATAAGATCAGCTCGGGCTCCTGTGTATTCTGACTCTTTTTCTCAGATACTCTAATTTCTTGGGCTATATGATGAGCTGGAAAGTGATGATCCAAAGCTTAGGCCTTGGACCACTGGATGAAAGATCACAGCTGTCATGTTTATGTGTGTGTGCTCTTTATATGTGGGAAGTCATTCAAGTTGCCTCTCCACACTGTGAAGTCTAATCATCACTGTCATTAACATAATTATTACCACCACCACTACTATCATCATCATCACCATCACCATCACCACCACCATCACCACCATCATAACCTCCACCATCACCACCACCTCTACCACCACCACCACAGTCACCCCTCCACCACGTCCACCGTCATCATCATCACCATCATCACCACAATTTAAAACATTTTAAAGGATTTATTTATTTTATGTATGTATTTGCTTCCATGCATCATGTCATGCAATGCCTGAAGAGGCCAGAAGAGGGCACCAGATCCACTGGAATTGGAATTATAGATGGTTGTTAGCTGCCATGTGGGTGCTGGGAACTGAACCCGGGTCCTCTGCAAGAACAACCAGTGCTCTTAACCACTGAGTCATCTCTCCAGCCCCCATCACCACTGTCCCTAAGACCATGACCATGACCATCACCACCACCACCACCATCACCATCGCTGTCACCAACACTGTATCACCATTTGTGTCACCACCACCACCACTGCCTTCATCATCATGTCCATCATCATCTCCACCCTCATCATCATGCAATCAATTCACAGGAAGAAACTGAGACTAAGCAACAGGCACATGTATATACACACATACCATACGAGAGAGAGAGAGAGAGAGAGAGAGAGAGAGAGAGAGAGAGAATTTAGATCCAGATGCTCTGCAGTGCCCACACACACACCAAGTCTACACCACCCCCTGTAAAACACTGGCTAGTTCACTGCAAGAGGGTCAAAAGGAAGCCTGTACATCCTCCCTTCTCCCTCTCTCCCCCTTGTCCTGCCTCCCCAGCAGTATCTTCTTGTCCCACAGAAAAGGTCGAGTGCTTCTCAGACTACATGACCCTGCAAATCCCGAGGAGCCGTGTGCAGGGTCTGAGGCAGTGGCTGTCCAGGATCCTGCACCTGCCAGGTAAGGGGTAGGGGCATTGCCTGGATGCAGCCCCTGCTGAGGGAGACCCCCACACATACCTCACCCCAGTGTCTCATGCTGGTTCAGTGACAAACTTCTCCCTCCCCAGGGCTGTCCTGCCCCTCTCCAAGGCAGACCCTCCCCCCAGCCCCCCCACTCCCCCGCCACCCTGCAGTCACAGTCTCATTCTGTTTTGCTCCCAGCTCTCATCACTACTGAAAATGGTCCCCACCCTTGTTCACACACTTGTCACCTGTGCCCCCAGCAGGGAGCTTGGTGCTTACAGCTGTGTCTCCAGGACTGAGGATGCTGTCTGGTGCTTGGGAGACTCCAATAAACATTTGCTGAGTTGAACAAATGGCCCCAAACCTGGAAAGTAATGCCCATTTGGTGCTGATACACTCTGAAACCTAAATCCTGCTGTGAGGTTAACACAGTGATTTAAAAAATATATACCTTAAATTTTTCTCATATTTATTAATTGTGCACGTGTGTGTGTGTGTGTGTGTGTGTGTGTGTGTGTGTGTGTGAGACTTCTCTCCTTTTACTCCGTGGATCCCAGGGATAATCCCAGTCATCAGGCTTGGGCATCAAGTGCCTTTACCTGCTGAGCCATCTCTTCTGCCCACTGGAAACAAGTCATCTCATGCTTGGTGGTGGAGGAATTGCACACCTAAAATAGCCAAAAACAAGGGCATATTATCACATTTACAAACCTTTCAGCCAGGGAAGGGGGTTGATACCATAAGGGATTACCTTGGACCTTCTGGAAACTTCTAGAAAGAACAAGAATAGGCAGATGTGCCAGTAGCTCATCTTCTCTGTGCTTTGGTCACAGGCTACAAAATGAGCCCCTAAAATTTCTCCTCTCTTTTTCACAAAAAGGAAGAAATTGAGGAGAGGAGACTTCCCAGCTCAGAGAACAGGAGGCCTGTTCTGTTTTGCTTTTTCCGTCCCTTCCTGTCCCTCTTCTCCCTTTTCCATTCTTAAAATTTCAAAAATTTATTTTATTTTATTTATTATTTTTATTTTATGTGTATGAGTGTATTGCCTGCTTGCATATAAGTGCACATATGTGCTTCGATGCCCGTGGAGGTCAGAATAGAATGTGTCTCCCTGGAACTGGAGCTACAGACGATTGTTAGCTGTCATGTGGGTGCTGGGACTCAAACCCAGGTCCTCTGCAAGAACAGTCAGTGTTCTTAACTGCTGAGCCATAGTTCCAACCCCCAACTTTTATTTTTATTTTATGTGTATGAGTGTTTCACCTGTATGTATGTATATGCACCTGTGTGTGCAATGCCCACAGAGGCCGTGAGAGGGTGCCAGATTCCATTGAAAATGGAGTCATAGATGATTGTTAGCTGCCCTGTGTGCTGGGAACTGAACTTGGGTCCTCTGTGAGAGCAACCAGTGCCATCTGCCATCTCTCCCCCTCCTCCTCCTCTTTTTTTTTTTTTTTTTTAAACTCTGTGGCCCAGGTTGCCCTATAACTCATTCAGCCCAGACTGGCCTCAGACTCATGGTGATTCCCCTGCCTCAGCTTCCCCAGTATTGAGATGACAGGTGTGAGTCACCACTTCTAGCTCATTCTGGAAATCTAAAGTACCATCTGGGCTTGGTGTGCCCTGAATCTTGATTCGGCCCTGGGAGGGTCAGCCAGCCTGTGTTGCCTGGGGAGCTGGAGCGACATTTGTGTGTTAAAAGGCCACTTTTTCAGAAGAAAATGGTGTAGATACATTAAGCTGTCGCCTGTTCTTTGGAGAGGCATTATTAATGGAAAACAATAGATTAATAGTTTTAAAACGCTTGTTCAATAAGTAATTTTTATGGCTCTGGATAGAGCCCATTAAACATTTCTGTGTGTTATTATAAAGAAGTTTTAAGCGTAAAATCATAAAGTCAATAATCAGGGAATTAGTCACAGCGGCCAGCCACAGGCCATTAGTTTTAGGCGCTGTCAGAGACACCTGTGGCTTTGGAGGGAGAGTTTTTATTTCACGCGGCAGCGCCAGGTGGGGCTGCAGAAATGACGGTGCCTGCTGCCTTCCATAAACTTGAAGGGGCAGCAAGCAGGTGTGAGCAGCGGGATGCCAGGCAAATATTTACAAAGTGCAAACGTGAATGCGAAACTAAAACGATCCGGGTCAATTTGCACATCCAGGCTTAGACACTTTATTTCCCCAGCGATCTGCCTTTCAGAGCCACAGGCGCAGCCTTGATCTCTTGCTAAAGATAGCCTTGGAAACCGAGCACTCTTAAAAGGAAAGCAAGCCACCAGAGAATCCCCCACACGCAGGCTGCGGGAGCTGTCTCCTGTGAGGGTGTATTTGTCTCCCATTTACTGTACAATCTAGTGAAGTAATCTGAAAATGAAACTGTGGGCTTTGAAAAAAAAAAAAGACTTAAAAAAAAATCACCACAAAAGCAATACAAGATAATTATGGAAACAGAGGAAATCCAAAGACAATAATGAAAACTGCCTGTAATCCCTCTGCTCAGTGATATTTCTCTCTGTGTTTTACTCGTCCAATAAATGTTTACTGAGAGCCCTCTATGAGCCAGATACAGCTTAAGGCACTAGGGATACAGTGAAGAACAAAACAGACAAATACTCCTGGCGCCATGGGGCTGGCGTTTGAGTGGAGGGCTACAAGACCGTGACAATAGTCAGCAGTCAGTTTTATAGCAGGTGGGATGGTAATGGGGGCTGCAGAATGGGGCTGGAGAGTAGGATGAGGTTAAGAGTGGGGTGATGGTGGAGGGCTTGTTGACAAGGGAGAACTTTATGTAAAGACTTGAAGGTGGTAGAGGGAGCCACGCAGGTGTCTAGAAGAGAGTTCCAGGTGTAGGACACAGCCAGTGCCAAGGCCCTGAGGCAGGCATGCATCTGAGGTGCTTTGGAATAGCAGGGAGGCCAGTGTGGCTGAGACAGAGGGAGGGAGGTCCAGAGGCACAGGAGAGAAGGTCATAGAGGCGAGGGCTCTGAGGAGAGTGGAGAGGTCTGGTGCAGGTTTGAGCAGGACCCTATGGGCTGTAGAGAAGGTAGACAGCAGTGGGAAAAACACAGGCGATGAGACAGGGGACAGATGCAGCAACCAGTCCTGGCCTGGCGCTGGGAGACAGTGTGGAGACAGTGTGGGAGACAGTGTCTGCGTGTGTGTTGTGGTAGTAACCGGGTTCCTGTTGATGTCCACCTTCCAAGGCATCTGTTCTTGCTATTATCTAACACTCTAGGGCAGGGGCTTCCAGGAGGGACCCTGGGTTTAGGTCTGGGTGTCTGACTCTCCTGACCTGGCCAGAGAGGCAGCCTTGGCTATCCCCCTGCGGTCCTGTCTGTTTCTCTCACAGGTGCACAGAAGGCCCCCGATCACCTGGATGCTCTTCTTGCTAGATGTGGCTACCTCCTGCATCCCGCTCGTGAGGGCCACTTCATCTTCCGAGCTCTGTACTCGGCCTGCTTTGTGAAGAAGGAGGTGGGTTTGAGAACCCATCCATCCATCCATCCATCCATCCATCCATCATCCATCCATCCATCATCCATCCATCTATCTATCCATCATCCTTCCATCCATCCATCATCCATCCGTCTATCTATCCATCATCCTTCCATCCATCCATCCATCCATCCATCCATCATCCATCCGTCTATCTATCCATCCATCCTTCCATCCATCCATCCATCCATCCATCATCCATCCGTCTATCTATCCATCATCCATCCATCCATCCATCCATCCATCCATCCATCCATCCAGGGCCTCATGCTAGGATGCTAGGCAGGGGTGCATCCACTGAGCTACACCCCCAGTCTTTAAGAGAGGCTTGCTGGTGTCTCCTGGGAAGTTTCTTCTATTCTGGGAGACACAGGTGTCAAATAAAGAGACCCAGTATCCTCATCCTTCACAGACAGAGAGCTGAGACAAAGCGTCAGACTCTACTTTCATGGTGTTTACAGACACCAATTACTCCTCTCGCTTCAAGAAAAAAACAAATTAAAAAAAATAAAGGGAGGAAGGGTTCATTTTTTATTTATTTCTCTTATTACTTTTTATCTTATGTGTATAAATGTTATACCTGCATGTGTATAAGTGTACCCATGTCATGCAATGCCTGAGGAGGTCAGAAGAAGGCATTGGACCCCCTGGAACTGGAGTTACGGACAGTTGTTAGCCACCATGTGGGTGCTGGGAATCAGCCATCTCTCCAGCTCCCGAGGTAGGGTTTTTTTTAACTTGCATCCTGGGGTGGTCATGGCGACTGTAGTGTGAGGTACTGATCATGTGACAGCTACAGTCAGGAAGCAGAGTGAGATGAACTGATGTACAGCTCAATTTCTCCTTTCTAGTCCGTCCTGGACCCAGGCCCACTGAATGCTGCTATCCTCTGTTAGGGTGGGTCTTCCTTCAGTTAAATCTCTCACACACCCCAGAGGTGTGTCCCCTAGGTGATTCCTACTCTAGTTGGGATAACAAAGATGATTGATCATCACTAGCATTGATAGCAAAAGGCTTCAGGCAGTTCTGACCCAGTCACATGATGTCTCCCCCAGGAAGCCTTCCAGGAAGTAATGCCTTCTCTGTGCGATAGGTCTGCTTCTATCACTGTGCTTGCTGCCATGGCTGGCTAATAACACATTTGCTTGTGTAGCTGTTTCCTGTGAGGCTGGAGCCTTTGAACAGAGTAGAGCCATACCTCCAGGGTTTGCCTTGGTGCCTGGAGTACAGTAGGTGCTCATTAAGTGTTTAGTGGAGTGAACAATAATGTGAACAGTTGCAGAGACTGACTGGTCACCTTTACTTTCAGAGGCCTCTTAGATGCTCACAAGACCATATGATTCTGTCAGATTTGCCAAAGTAAGATCTTTTCACGTTCTTCAAAGGAAATTTTTTTTTCAGCCGGGCATGGTGGTGCACACCTTTAATCCCAGCACTCAGGAGGCAGAGGCAGGCAGATCTCTGTGAGTTCAAGGCCAGCTTGGCCTACATAGTGAGTTCCAGCCCAGCTGGGGTTACAGAGAGACCCTGTCTCAAAAAGAACAAAAATAAAAATTTTTTTTCAGTGCTAGAGTAGAACCCAGGACCTCACATGTGCTAGGTAAGTGCTTTATTGCTGAGCCACATCCTCAGCCTTTTATTTATTTATTTTTTAAAAAAAACAACTATTTTGAGACTGAGTCTCTCTAAGTTGTACAGGCTAAGCCTGAATTCACTCTGTAACCTAGGCAGACCTTGAATTTGTGAGCCTCCTGCCTGTGCTGGGATTACAGGTGTGCACCACTATGCCTGGCTCATCACCCTCTCTCTGACAGCCCCTCATCCCCAGCCACACACCCCGACTTTGGGGCCCCTGCAGACTCACACTTGGACACTTTGCAGGGCCAAAGGAGGCCAACCCAGGCACTGGGACTCATTGGTGTGACATCTTGAAATGCTACCTTGCACTTAGAATATGGGATCTTGCATTGAGTTGCAGGAATGGCCTTTGCTTAGCTCATATCCACTAAGCCTCAGCTGTTTCAACTGTAAAGTGGGACTAAGGGAGTTTCTTACAGGACATATGGGGGGGGGGTCAAAGATGTTTGTTCATTATTAGGAATGAGCTGATACAAGCTGTTGTTCTGTCCTACCAAGGGTAACCTTCCTGAAAAGTGTAACAGTCCCCAGTCCCCAGGGCTTCTGGGGTAGGGGCTGAAGGGCTACAGTGCAGAACCTGGATGTGGGCTCCTAGTCTCTACTGCCTTCATCCCTCTTGTCAGACCAGCTTCCAGGAGGTCTTCGTTAATCACACCCACTGTGAACAGACGCTGACCTATAATTGTGGCCTGTTAACTGTATTTCCTTCTTTTATTTGCACGTGTGAATTTCGCCGACTTCTAGAAAGCAAATTATAGGTTGGAAATAAGAATATTTCAAAAAGGGGCACAAAGGTGGAAGCAGACTGAGAGCTACATAATGAAGTGTCCTGCGATCACGTCCAGGCTGGGCCAGCAGAGTGTCCGCTGTGACCCCGAATTCATTCAGGTAGGCCTGGGAGGGCCTTGGAGGGTCTGGAAGGAGCTGTGAGGGATCTGGGAGGACCTAGGAGTGTCCAGGAGAGTCTGGGAGGGCCTGGGAGGAGCTGTGGGGATCTGGGAGGGCTTGGGAAGGTCTGGGAGGATCTGGGAGGGTCTTGGAGGGCCTTGAAGGGCCTGGGAGAGTCTGGAATAGTCTGGGAGGATCTGGGAGGGCCTGAGAGGATCTGGGAGGGCTTGGGAAGGTCTGGGAGGATCTGGGAGAGTCTGGGAGGGCCTGGGAGTCTGGGAGGGCCTGGGAGTCTGGGAGGGCCTGGGAGGATCTGGGAGGTAACACTGGGGCCTCCCAGGCTGGCTTCTCTCCAAAGGCCTGGGTAGGTGGCTGTTAGATTTTTGGAAAATAAAGGGAAAGATAGAGAAGTAAGAGACAAGAAACCAGAGCCAGACCTGCAACATGCAAGGAATAGATCTTCCTTTACTCAAAGAAGATAGAGTGAGAGGTAGAGGCTGTCCATGGGAACCAAGCATCTACAACCAGACAAAGAAACCAGTGTGTGTGTGTGTGTGTGTGTGTGTGTGTGTGTGTGTGTGTGTGTGATGTTGATACCAGGGTTGTGAGATACAGCTGCACTTAGTGGGGAGTTGCGTTAGTGCCTGGGCTCGGTGTCCTTGGAGTGGTTGAGGGTCTCCTTCTCAAGATTATTTCCCCAGAAACTGGCAGGAGTGTTATCTATGGCCCTAGGAGAGACAGGTGGGCTCCACAAACACTTTCTCTCAGGCTTGGGAGTGACTAGCTGATAAGGGGTGAGCAGAGCCAGGTTTGAGCAAGGCCAGGCTGCCAGTTTAAGGCCAGTTAGACACTTTAAGGGATGTATGGCTTTCCCTAACGAGGCTTGTGGCTCTTCTGCAATTCACACATTCTATCAATGGCCATGATTGCTGAGCCTTGGGACATGGCCTGGCAGAGGTGACAGCTGTGGGCATTATCTCTGTGGGCATTCATGGTGCTGGTTGGGCATCAGCTTCCACTTGTCTTTCATCTGAGCATGCGTTGGGATAAGGGACCGGGTGAACATTAAAGTCTCTGAAGTCACCTGAATCAGCGCTGGCCGAAGCACCAGATTGTGTCTGTGTTTTTCTCTCTGAATTGAGGAAGGTTGCTGGTTTGGAGCTTCTGTGTGTGTGATATGTGTGTGATGTAGTATGCATGAATGATATATGTGTGTATGTATATGTGAGATGTATATGTGTATGATATGTGTATGGTATGGTATGCATGTATGATATGTGTGTGATATATGTGTGTATGTATATGTGAGATGTATATGTGTATGATATGTGTATGGTATGGTATGCATGTATGATATGTATGTGTGTAGATGTGTATGTGTATGTGTATGATGTGTATGTGATCTGTATGCCTGTATTTTTGTGTATATGTATATTTGTGTGATATGTATATATTTGTATGTGCATGTAAGATGTATATGTATGTGATATGTATATGCACAGAGGTATAATGGGGGCTGTGACAAGCAAGAGCAGGTGGAGCTTCCAATCATGGCCCTTTGAGGAGAAGCTGCCACTCAGCCTCTGCCTCGTCTTGGTGGAATTTTCCAGCTTTTTAAAGAGAAATGGGAAATCTATAATTGTATGTGAAATCTCATTTTAAAAAGTTGACTGTGGTCTGGGTGTGGTGGTGCATGCTTTTAATTCCAGCACTTGGGAGGCAGGGGCATGTGGATCTCTCTAAGTTCTAGGCCAACCTGGCTACATAGTGAGACCCTGAGATCCTGTATCAAAAAAATGAAACAACAACAAAAAAGTTGACAGTGGACTGGAAAGGCAGCCAGTGCTTGCTTAGCACATATAAGGCCTTAGACAAATGTTGACTTTATTTGTTTGCTTATTTTGATACAGGGCCCATATAGCCCAGGCTGGCCTTAAACTCACTATGTAGACAAGGATGACCTTGAACTTCTGATCCCCCTGCTTCTACCTTCAAAGTGTTGGGATTACAGGCCTGGGATACCACACCTAGTTTATGGGGTGCTAAGAATTCAACCTAGGGCTTCACGTATGCTAGGTAAACATTCTAGCAACAACTACATCATACCCAGCTCCCAAAAATGTTGGCTTTAATTTTGTAAATACCATGTGGTCCAAACAAAATGTTGACTTTAGTACCAGGCAGGATACCTGGAATTCCAGCACTCAGGAGGCTGAGGCAGAGGACTGCAAGTTTAGGTCTGCCCAGGCCATAGATGAAACTCTGCCTCAGAAACAAGAGTCAGTGAGATGGCTCAGTGGGTCAGGGCACTTGCCATAAAGCCTGGCTGATGACCTGAGTCCACACCCTGAGTCCCACAACGGGTGGAAGGAGAGAACCAATTCTTGCAATTTATCTTCTGACCTCCAAATGTGAACCATGACATGTGTGTGCACACACACGATAATAAATCCCCCCAAATCCCAAAAATCCCAAATTAACCACCCTGGCCTGATGATACAGGATGGAAGAAAGGAGACACATGCTGGGAAGATTTGGGAGAAAGGGCTGCTACTGACAACAACTGTTCATTTAACAAGCATTTATTAAGCACATATTGTATGCCAGGCTCTCTGTTCATGTAAAGGATCAGATTTGGATGGATGTTAACTCTTGCCTTGGGAAAAGCGTACAGTTCCACTCTCATTTGGTCTGTGTTTTAAAGTGAGTGTGCCAAGATAGGATGAACCAGCTGAGCAGACGCTGGGACCCCAGTTAACAGCCCTGTGCCTGCTCTCTGTGGTCTTGACTCTGGAGTTCTTTGCTGAAGCCAAGGGACCTTCCCTGCCCACCAGCATGTTTAATATCCTATTGAGACCAGGCCAGGCCGGGTGTTGGTGCACCTAAGAGACCCCCCTCCCCAGCATGGATAGGCACTAGGCATGTTTGACAGTCCTGGGCTGGTCCTGGCTCCCTTTGCACTGGGCCTGTAATTCTGAAAGCGGCCACCAGGGGGACAGCGTTGCCGGTGTTACACAACACTGAACTGAATCCCTGAGCCAAGTCGAGCTCGTTCTCCGCCAGGTGCCAGCTTTGTCCCCATCAACCTGCCTTGAAGTCAGATGCCTCGATCCCTAGTGCCCGTCTCCAATAGAGGTATTGGAGCTTACAGGACCGCCCCCCCCTCCCGGATCTCTGGGCACAGTTACAGAGACTCGGGCTGCGTATGGGCGACAGAAGACGAGACTCAGCTGCTTCTGTCTCGTCCCTTCTCCCCTCCCCCATCAGAGGACCTCATCGAATTGACTGATTCATTCCTGGTGACTTCTGCAGCCGCTGTTTCCGTGGCTGCACCTTGAACTTGCATTAAGTTTTAATTAAAGCCGTTACACCAGCCTTGCCCTTGGCTAAATGCAGCTGTGGGCACAGGGCACATAGATATTTAATAGTCTGCCTCTCCCCGCTGATGGCCCTGGGTGCCCAAGGGTGTACCCGAGCCGTGCCCTGCTCGCAGCGATCCGAGAGCTTGCTTAAGTGTGCCCACAAGGCCCGAGCAGGAGGCTGCGCAATAACTATTCATTGCCCTGGGTTAAGTGTGCCCAGGGGCACCGGTAAACTCAATGCAGTGATTAGCAATTGCTCCCAGGGAAGGCTACCCCAGGTCCCGCTGAATGTCTGTGGGCCCTAAATATAGCTTGCTCATGGCCACTTAAAGGGCACGGTGGGTTTAGGGCACACATTTGATCCTACCTTCCCTTCCTTTGCACAAAATTGTTCCCTCCTCAGAACAGCCCAGCCTCCAGGGTTGCACCAGTGCTGTAGAGGGACGGGGTATGGGGACAGGGAGGCAGCTTTGGTGGCTGACCGGGGAAATGCTGACTTCCCTTAACATCTACCAAACCTCAGGCTTCTCCTCCATTTCTTCTTTGCTTCCCAAGTGAAGATAGCACCCCCAAGATGAGGAAATTGCAGCAGGTTCACCCAATAGGCTTTCTGTGGGCTGTGCTGAGCCTGCTGGCAATGCCGGTCGGGGGGCTCTCTGCATTCAGGGGCAGCAGAGCTGGGGCACTGATAAAGTTGAGAGGATGGGAGCCTGCCTCCCCTCAACCCCATCCACTGTGCTCTGGCCCTGGGAACCCTACTCTGTCCACCTAGGGAAAGGGGATATAGCCTTGGGTAGGAGAGTAGTCAAGGCCTATTATTCTTTTCAACCTCAGTGTCACCGACCTTTATGGAATGAGGGGAAGGGGGCCACCCTCTGTTGGTTTATGATTTTATCCTGTCAACCTTCCTGCCCAGGCCTGCAGCACAGGCAAAGGAGGGTTAGAGGCAGCAGAGGGGTGAGAAGAGGGCTGGCGAATGGGCTTGGTGGGTAAAGACACTTGCTGTCAAGACTGATGACCTGAGTTCCATCTTCAAAACCAACATGGTGGAAGGAGAGATCTGATTCCCACAAGTTGTCTTCCAAGCCCACATGCCACTGTAGAATTTATGTACATACAAATAATAGGGAATAATAATAATAATAATAATATTGTGCCACCTGACGTGAATGCTGGGAATTGAACTCTGGTCCTCTGTAAGAGCACACTGTGCTCTTAACCACTGAACCATCTCTCTAGCTCCTGTCCTGATTTAATTTTTTAAAACTTTCTTTTGCATTTTGTGCATATGGGTGTTTTGCTTACATGAATGTTAAGTGCACCTGTGTTATGCAGTGCTCATGGAGGTCAGAAGAGGGCACTGGATCCCTTGGAACTGGGGTTACAGACTGTTGTCAGCTGCTATGTAAGTGTTGGGAACCAAAAAAGTGCTTCAGTGCTTTTTTTTTTTTTTTTTTTTTTTTTGAGACAGGGTCTCCCCGTAGCCCCAGCTGGCCTAGAACTCACTATGTAGACCAGGCTAGCATTGATCTCCAGAGATTTGCCTGTCTCTGCCTCCCTGGTGCTGGCATTAAAAGCGTGTCCCACCACACCTGGCCCAGCCAGTGCTCTTAACCACTGAGCCATCTGTCCAGCCTTTGTCCTAATTTTGGAGGGGAGCTGAGACAGTTGGGCACGGTGCTGCCACAAGTGAACACAGATGTAGAAGCTGTCTAAACACAGGGTGGTTGCTGGGCACTCCCCCTTTTGCTTATTGGAGCCCACAGGGAAGGGAAAGGGACGAGGAAGAAACAGGTCACTTGGAGTGAGACCAGGAGGAGGCCTGGGAACCCTCTGCCAGGTCCTGAACAGCAGGACCATGCCAGCTGTGCTCTGCACCCCAGCTGCCCCATCGGCCTGACCCAGGGCAGCAGCTGAGGCGACATTTCCCTGAATCTGTTGACACTTGAGTCCCAGAGCATAAATGATTTTCTTGTCTTAATGAGCAAACAACCAGGCGGCGTGGCTCTCTCACCGGCCTCCTGCTGTGGTAATTGCCAGAGCTCGGCTCCGGTAGAAGCGCCTGCTGGCTTGCTTGTTCACCTTTGCTCACAGCTTGCGAGAGATGTTGGTTGCTCTCTGTTCTGCAGGTCTCCCGGCCCTTGCCCCCGACGATCGAAGGTGGACAGGTAGGTGAGGCAAGAGCAATGTTCTGGAAGGTTCTACCAGGCCTGGTGCTCAGGATGCCTGAGGCAGGATGTTGTCACGTCCAAGACCCTCTTGTGGAGAGTGCCTATGGATAGAGTGACCCAGTGGGTCTGGGTCTTGGCAGCAGCGGGAGCTTTTCCTGGTACCCTCCATGCAGAGGCTGGAGGTCCTATGAAAGGAGAAGACCCTCTTGGTAGGAAGCCTCTGGGTCCTTCTGTGCTAAGATTCTCTCTGAAAGGGCTCCCGTGATAGGAGCTGAGTCCTTTGCAAAGGCCACCTGTTCTTATAGTACACAGCTATCTTCCTTACCTCCCATCCCAATACCACCCCAACTTAATTTCTTTCTTTCTTTCTTTCTTTCTTTCTTTCTTTCTTTCTTTCTTTCTTTCTTTCTTTCTTTCT